GCGGAGAGTGGAAGCTAAAGCGGGCTTTGCTGGACATGGAGGCACCAGCGCGATCACTTGCATTTTATTTTTAATAACAGCGGAAACTTAAAAATATGCCGTGATTTTTGCTCATAAAGGTAAGAGTATGCCTCATTCGGAACTGCAAAGGGTCTACTTGTATTTCTGTGCACTCACAATATCAACAAAACCTTGTGCTTTTGTAAAATATGGAAAACAAACAGGATGCGCTTTCTGTCGTCTTGGTCTTGCGCAGGAGCGCTTCACCGACATGATAAATATATCTATAGAATGCTTTAAATGACTAATTTAAAACGAAATAATTCAAATCGAAAACAAAAACTCTTTCATTATGTAATCCGTAAAGATGCATTTCTCTCTATAGGCACGTCCAATGAGGAGATGGCGAGTCAACATTGACTCAGAAAACAGTTTATTAACAAATAATTCAAATATCCCCTCACTATTTTTGACTTTTTTTGTTTGTTTTTTATTTTATTATAATTTTTTTGTTTGTTTGCTTGTTTTTTGGGCTGATGTGCCAAAATTGTGTTTGCATTCAGTAGCCTATAAGGCAGCATTTTTGTGCCATGTTTAAAAAAATTTGTTGAGATAGTGAATTGGTGGGTTTTTGTTAAATGTGAGCCAAAATTATCACAATTAAAAGAACCAAAGACTTAAACTACTTCAGTCTGTGTGCATTGAATTTATTTAATACACGAGTTTCACAATTTGAGTTGAATTACTGAAATAAATGAACTTTTCCACGACATTCTAATTTATTGAGATACACCTGTACTGCTCTTATACTTACTATTTCTCCAGAGAGACTGATCTTATCATTTTTAGTTCTTCTGCTCTGAACTGAAAGACTCTATACACACACACACTCATTCCTTTTTTTGCTTGAGATTCTTCAGTGTTGTTTGTCTATGTTATCACTATGGGGTTGTAAATACACTTGGGATTACTGTTTAACTTTTGTCTTGTTGTTGTTCTCCCTATAAATGCTCCTACAGGACAGACGTTCCTTCTATTTGGTGTATCATCCTTATATATTAAGTGGAGGGTTATAATCTTATAATGACATGATAGCTAGCAGATTGAAGAACATATCAGCTGGTGGCATCTAGAAAATGCATTTTCATGTCAAAATACATTCTCTTAACCCAGTTTATTGTTCATTGACTACTATGTGCCACTCATGGGTTTATCTCTGCCAAAAGTGTAAACATAGGTCAATCTCTTTCCAACTATATCTATAACCTAGAGCGAGAGTTTGGGGCATGGCCACTGTGGCAGGCTGAGTTTGGGGTGTGGACACTGTGGCAGGCTGAGTTTGGGGCGTGGCTACTGTAGCAGGCTGAGCTTGGGGCGTGGTCAATGTGGCATGCTGAGTTTAGGGCATGGTCAATATAGCAGGCTGGGTTTGGGGTGTGGTCAATGTAGCAGGCTGGGTTTAGGGCGTGGTCAATGTAGCAGGCTGGGTTTAGGGCGTGGTCAACGTAGCAGGCTGGGTTTAGGGCGTGGTCAATGTAGCAGGCTGGGTTTAGGGCGTGGTCAATGTATCAGGCTGGGTTTAGGGCGTGGTCAATGTAACAGGTTGAGTTTGGGGCGTGGTCAATGTAGCAGGCTGAGTTTAGGGCGTGGTCAATGTAGCAGGCTGAGTTTGGGGCGTGGCAACTGTAGCAGGCTGAGTTTGGGGCGTGGCTACTGTAGCAGGCTGAGTTTGGAGCGTTGTCAATAGGTGCGTTCGACTTGAAGCACGGCTACAGACGGCAGTCAACGAGAGTAGCCGCTTGCAGTCGGGGGCGGAGTTGAAAACGGAGCCGTCAAGCTGGACATTTCTGCTCCCGTTAGTGACGCTCGCGCGGTGTTTGCATACTCTTATCACAG